GTCACATATATCAACAGCAGCTGGATCATCAAAGGCAAGAGACACAGGCAGCCCAGGCAAAGATAAAGCTTTTGTCACAACATCTTGATGACGAGACAGCTGCAAGACAGGTTCTTCAGGTACTGTGCACATATATCTGATCTACCATTTTCAAGTTTTTTTTTTCATAATTTACCATTTGTTGTTTGTGTTATTGCCTTTTCCTAATCTTTGTCAATTGGAATTTCACCTTGTATATAGCAGTACTGAACATAATAATACACAATTTATGCTTATATATTGAACTGTTAGAAAATAAGTAGATCAAATGGTGAAAGATGAAATGTTGTCTAGTATGTTATTTGTGTTAGTTAATCTGCCTGTACTCTAAGTGTTTAAAACTGTTTCGCAGAGAATTGTATGTTCAATCCCCATATCTTGTGTTCCCCAAATAGACTTCAGTGCTGACTCCCTAAAGATTATATAAGATGGTTAACTCAATGCATATTATATTTAACAGAATCAACTGAACCAAGTGCTCAAGCAAAACAAGGACTTGATAACAACAATAACACAATTGGTTGATCAAGTTCAGACTATGCAGAATCAAATGCATGGTCGAGGTGATTCTGGTGTAAGCCTTAGTCTGGATATGGATGGAAAGATATCTTCAGGATCAGCATTACACTCACAAGTTTCATCATCTGTGGGCTCCTCTCCAGTCAAGGATGGGTTGTTATCAGCAGCAACAGCCGCACAGAAACGACGAATGCTTGGTGATCCTGTATTTCCCACCATTCCTCCTCCAGCTATGACTCCAAGCCCTGTGATGTCACATCGAAGTGTAATGGATCCTCTTGATGGTAGTGTTACTTCCCTACAGTCAAGCAGCAAAGTTGCAAGTGCAGAATCTTTTATCCGAAACACAGTTCCTGAAAGTGGCCCTCTTCCTACCCTTGTGGATTTGGGCTCATCTGATCTTGAAATGGTCGAACCAAGACATGAACCTTTTCCTCAGCAGTTTCTACAGTTCACATTTGACAGTTCTACAAATTTTGAACCGGGTAAAGTTGATTCAGCCAGTAATGGTAGTTTAACGCAGTTTAATGGAGTAGGCAGCAAAGCCAACACCTCTTTACCTCAAAACAGCAGTGGAACATCTCCTGTTTTGAACGGCAACTTTTAACATCAATTCTGACAGGTAGTCTTGGTAGTCCTTTGCATCACCTATCTTGTCACAGTTATTGTAAGATTTTTTGAGATGGCTTTTTAAATTGTCTTTATTTTGACTAGAATGAAACATTAATTCAAATGCTCACAGAATGGAGGATAATACTTAAAGGAGAATTGAGTGAGGTGCATAAAAAGTACTAGCTGTAAGGTTAATGTACTTTCATGCGCCTCACTTCCATAGTTCCAAGTGATGCACTTACATCGATTTTTTTTTTCACTACCCTTTTTATTTTACTCATGCAACAGACTTTCCTGAAAAGAAGGGACTGCACATAATTTTTTGAGGGTGTAAAACTAGTCAGCAATATTCTCTTAAAAAAAACTTAAACACTATAATCATAATTAGGGTGGAGGGTTAATTTTATGTGCAGGGGAAATCTCTGACCACTGATTTTCCTTGTGTTGTTCCTGGTTATATGCATACAAAGAATTATCTGTTGTTGACAAAAAGATTTTAATAACTACATAGTGCTCTGGGGAATATAATTTTTTTGTCAGTGTTAAGTCTGAGTAATGATTATGAGAATTTTTCTTGAGTAGGGATGATGACAGAGCAGAGGGTGGGAATGCCTTGAAAAAATAAAAATTGAGGTCTGTTGTCATATTTAACCCATCATGTGAAAACATGAATAGATTGGTGGCCTGGTAGTCATTTGCAAGACAACAAGTTGAAGGTTGTCAGGTACAGCTGCTTTCTATGGTTAAATGTTTGCCCAGTGTAGTGATAAGGGTGCACTCAAAAGACATGTGTGGGCCACTGACAGTCAAATATAGGAGTTAAAATGCAAGTAGCATGATTTTTCACACATCAAGTTTTGAATTAATATTTTCAAATGAATTGTATATATCACATACAGAGTCACAGAAGCCTAAATTTTTTGCAATGTACAGTATATCCTTTATTTTTATGCTCTGAATTTATGCATTTGTGTATTTATACAGCTTTTAACATAATGTCACAGTTTTTATCAATATTTTATATTGTTGAAAAAATATACTACAAATTTGTTACCTTATTTGAATCATAAACATTTTGTACATTCAGATGCAAATATGAGCACTATTTTTCCAAAAAGGTACTTGTAAAATATGCGGGCAATGACCCTGAAAAAAAAGCTGAGGATGCAAACATTTTTTGGGATTATGCTTTTTAAGGATTTCAATTAATTTTTATTCCAAAGGCTGACCATAGTTAGTCAAAGTAGATGAAGCAACAAGCTGTTGAGTATGGATAGTGCTTTCATATGCTGGTGATCATTTTGATTTCATGTCTCCTCACTGGTAACTGTTCTGTTATTTACAGTCTTGCTGAAACTTAAGACATTTTAGGTTTTCAGTACAGCATTAGATTTTGATACTGTAAGCAATAAAGGATTTTAATGTAAAGGAGACTAAACTTATAAAGATATCAATCAAACACACCCTACCATAGCTCCAGTAATGCTCAAATTAAATTGACGATCTCTTCTCGAAAACTCAATTTATTAAAATTTCATGATTGTGTAGAAATGCCCTTGTTCTAGGGCTTGGTTTACTACAATTTTGGTATTGTAAAATTATTATCATTTAAAAGTCATTTACACTTAATTCAAGCAGCCTTGTAATTAAATGGCACATAGTTATAGTGTCAGGAGGCATTGTTAATTTTGTATTCCAATTCATGCTATTAACAAATTATTCCCAGCTTATTGTAATTTGAATGGTTTTTCATTTTTATCACAAAAGGAAAATTGCATTTAATCATGACATTACTAATGGCACATTAATATTTAATCATTGATCACATGTCACAATATTACTTGATACATTTTTTCAACTATTTGGATATTTGAAACTTAAAATATTCTAGAGTGAGGGAACACTAGTTAAGGTGGCAGATATTGCAATGAATGAGAGCACTGAGTAATATATAGAAAATAAAATGCAATAAACATGAATTTCAAATGTGTTCAGTTACTTTTACTAGTTGAAATGGATGGTAAAGACACCAGAAGAGCAGAGAATTTATTACATCTCTAATCCCCTTCTACCTACCATGGTGAAATTTTATTATTTTGGACTTTAGTATCTTGTATTGTGATCTGTATTGGTTGAGTATCCCTTTTAACTCTTGCACTCCCAGGATCTCATTGATAATTCTCCTTTCAGTATGCCATACAACTCTCATTGTGGTAGTTTGGAGAATTTGGTATTGGATCAACAAATAATATTATTCCCTAATTGATATTTTTCTATCTTCTCTTTGCTAATCTGTTTGACATGGTATTGATGATGTAAGGAGAAACTCTGTCTTGGTCACTCATGGAAGTTAGAGGGTTAACTAATGAGTAACTTCCCCTTGGAATATCAACACAGTTTGGAGTTCTTATGCTATGACAGTAAATTCTCTCGCCTTCTGAACAAGCAAGTCAATCTTGCAAATGCTGATAGTACTTTTCACTATGTACATCATAGTGATACCAGCAATAGCATTTTGCATCCATGGGTTAGTCACCATCATCATGGCAAGGCAGTCATTTAAATAGTATCAAGATTCAGTCTGTCAAGTTGCTTGTAATTTTCAGATTTAGAAAGCAGGAGAATTGATTAGGTAACTATGCAGTGAGATAATGCAACAATATGGTTGAGGTAGTGTGACCATTCAAGTAACGTAGTGTGACTATGTGGGGGTGAAAGGGTAACTATGTAGGTGAGGTAGTGTAATCATGTACTGGTGGTGGGATAACTATGTAGTGAGGTAATATGACAATTTTTTTTTTATTTGTACATAGTTTTCTATCTATATTACTATCAGTATCAGTGTAATGCATATGTATACCATAGTTTTATTACGTTATTGTGCTCAGGGCTCCCATTGATAACAGACAGCTTTCTGCATCTGAAGGGGCTACCCTGAGCGGTGTAAATCAAGTAGCATACTATGACTGTGGGGGCTGAAAGGGTAACTATGTCGGTGAGGTAGTGTGACTATCTAAGGGTGATAGGACAAAACCTGGTTGAGCTAGTGACTATGTTGGCAAGGTAGTCTGATCATCTACGTGAAGTGGTGTGACCATGTTGACAAGGAAAGTCTCCAAATGGGTTCTTATCCATGAGAGTGATAGAGTGATTATCCCATTGGTAAGGGAAACTAAAAAAAATTATCTAGCTGTACATTTCTGAGAACATCATGGAAAGTATTTATTGCATTTGTTTGTAAAAAAGGTACTTTTTAAAACATGACTAACTGAACCAGCTAGATAAATAGGCACAGTTAACTAAATCTGTAAGGTTTTTTCATTTTTGCAGCCATAAAATTTATTTTTTTAAACATGGACTACACTACTGCCACATCTTACTTATCAAATTCTTCGTAATCTGAATTCAAGAATGTATCTTTTTAACACAAAAACACATAACATCAAGACAACTATATGAAATTATCCAGAATGCCAGAAAAAAAAGAAGTACATTCAATACTTAAAAATCAGAAGTAAAGCATGACATTGTTTCAAAGATGTTATGGATAACATCAAATGGGTGAAAACATTTCACCTATGAATGACTTTTGTCAGCCTGAAGGATGTAGTTAATGTATCTTGCAATTATAGAGGAAAACAATCTTCATTTCTTGTTTAATTGAATGTTTCTGGTTAAATTTTATTTCTAAAAACACACATCCTCATTTATTGAATTTATTTGGTTTTGACTTCAATTCAATTAAACAGTCACTATAAATCCAAGTACACATAACTTCACCTAGGCACTGGATGCTTTCATCACAATGATTCCATGAAGTTTTGAATAAAATGATGATGTAAACACGTGGGAGGTTGAGAGAACACGAGATAAGCGTTGGAAACCATGATGCGAAGCGGAGCGGTTACCAGCTTATTGAGTGTTCTCCCAACCTCCCAAGTGTTTACATCAGGCTATGTAAACACAGAAACCTTCTTATATTTCTTTTATAAAATAGCTAATGAAAGAGGAACGAAAACCGTGTTTACATACACTCATGTAAAATGGCCAATCAGAGCATGCGTACTATTTGAATTATTTTATAAATTGAAATATTTATATAATTTACATTACATTAAATGGTACAATGAACCCTCTTAGATTAAAATAAGATGTACCTTGTATCCATCTACCAGTTCTATAAATACTGGTGCCTTAAATACTATAATTAGTAAATGACAAGCCACACAAACTACAACAGCAGAGCTAAGAAATAACAATAATTAAATAACATTTAAAGTATTTTTCTTTCCTTTTAAGGCTGAGCCCACCACATGACCCACAGATAATTGCATACAAAATTAATAATGCAAAGTTGTGGCCACCCCCAAGAAAAATAAAACAACCACTTCCCTAAGTTACCACAAAGTAATTTTAAAAGATAATTGAAAAACACACTCTGCAAATTGAGCAAGAAATCATTTTTTTGAGTCTGCTATTTCAAACTATCATAAATCAACATCACCATTTTTCCCCTACACCCTTCAGTTTGGTAAATAACTGCTCTGCTTATCCATGGCAGAGCACACTACTCAACTATGCCCTTCAGTACAAATCAAAACTCTCCTTCACTATGACCATTGGGTTTATAAGTATGAGAAGATTCTGAAGCCCCACAATCCCATGTAAACATGTGATCACATCCGTTTTGACCAGACAGCAGAGCAAGTCTTCACCACTAATTAGTACTTAACAGCCAAACTAAACCTATAATTTTGGAGTTTAAAGGTGATCATTGGAATTCACTTTCTATTTTGTGGTCGTGATTAGCTACTGGCAGGCTGAATGTACTCCAGTGGACTGTGTGACGACGATGACAAAGATGATGCTGAAGATGGCTGCTCCACAGATGATGAACCAGGTGTAAGGGCACTGTAATTGGAAATGCGTTCAACTACCATGGCATGAAGATCATGGACAGCTTCACTGTGCTGTAGTTATAAATTGAATAATAAATACTATTACCATTTGACCACTACTAGTAACAATTATGTTAATAATTTTTGCAAAAATAACAAAAGTGTGGGTGATTAAATAACCAACACAGTAATGGGGAAATATCATTGACACTACACCCACTCATTTGGACTGACAACCATCCACGTCCAGCTTCGTAAACTTTTATAAAATTCCTCTAATTAATGTTCACATATATCTTGTCCCATTTTGAAAACTAGACTTTAGGCAACTTTCACATGGAACTTTGCTGTGCACACCTCAAGTGCTGACTGATGGCAAGATTTATATGGTAAGTTATATGGTAAGTTACAGACCATGTTTTTTCCACTTGGATTCATGATCCAAGCACAAAGTGTGTGGCCCATTGGACCATACATCCAAACCAAAAATAGGAATTAGTAACACATAACTTCCAGTACCAACTAAAAAAAAATGTTAGCTATATATTAATTGTATTGCTGGGTTCAAATTGAGGCAAAGAAAGATTTCAGTTCAATCAAACTTTTGAATTTAGCAGGCCATACAGTGAAATATGGCATGCTAAATTGACCACTCATAGTGCTCATATTTACAAAGAGACTTAATTAAAGGCTATAATTTTCTGCCAAATTTGAACTGGAGGGTAAGTAAACTGTGAATGTTAAAGCATTTATACAATCACAATCAAGAGTAAGTCACAATACCCATCTTAAGACTGCAAAAGTTGGATGTGGATGCATATAATCATTCATTACTATAAAGGTTTAGGGTTTTCAGAGAGATTATGAGTAGACTACACCAGTGAAAAAGAATTACTGGTACCCTGAAAGGAGGCAGTTGGGACCCTGAGTACAAAAGTTTTATTCTTTGGGGGTGGGGGAAGGGAGGGATGGCTTGGGGCTGGCCCTACCAGTACTGTATATTTTCTTTCTAGATGTTCTGAGATTCTATTTTCACCACTCTTAATTATTTTTCCGGCTCAAATTACAGAAAGTTAAAATGGAATTGTAAGATGTTCTACAGAATGAAGACAATAAGTTTGGTCATTCAATTTTGAGTCAACCCCATCAAAGTTCAATAAACTGTAAGTAATTTAAACTGGTAATTGAGATGAGTTTGAGTTCATTTGAAACATTTTTTAATCTTTTCTACTTTTTGATTTTGATAAAATGCAAAGTGCAGTAAATTGAGGTTTCCTATAGGCTTTACAAACCACTCATGCATGTATTAGTACTTACTAGAAGATGGTTCCTTACCATTCTGAGGCTATTGTTTAAAAAATGCCACCTCTTTTAAAGAGTTGTCAGGTAGAGTGGCTGGCAAATATAATAAAGTTTTCTCTTGAGAACCTTGTGTTTTGTTACTTCTCAAGAGAGTGCATAAATTAAAAAAACAACACAAAACCAACTATACATTGTACATACCTCACTTGATGGCTGTGCAATGGTCAGAATGTGCAACACCTTTTGAGGATCCAATTTAGGAAAAATGTACGATAGCAATCTTAGGGTGTGTCGCATTACACTTGTGTGTGTCACCAAGGGAAGAAGAAATTGGTCAAAAACCACATCACAGAAATCAGGATGTGTAAACTCTTCCTGCCAAGCAGCTAGGGAACTGGTCAGAGTGTGAAGGGAGACCTCATCCAAAGCTCGCTCTTGACATGTGTTGACAAACCAAGGCAAGATGGCAACAAGGGTATGTCTGCAGTCACATGGATACAACACACATTATAGGAAAATAATCAGTTTCAACCATTGATGGCAAACTTTGTGACATGGCTGTCTTGAAAATTGATTTGCTCCATGCTGTGAGGAACAGTAGTTTATCTGGCCCTAAGTTTCTTTGTACTTCTTTCCCATAATAGTGTCAAAACCCCTTTTTTGAAGGCGCTTTATTAACTATTTACAATCTCTTTGTAACATTGCGAGTGAAGGTCCTTAATTGAGGTCTGCTCTCTCATTCACTTAACTTTCAAATAATGCACTTGTTTTCCTTCTTCTACTTGGGCTTGCACCTGGACCAGAATTATACTATAAACATCTACTTTTCAAACTATTGCATCTAAAAATCCAATGAGAGTGACGCATGATTTTTTTTTTGGTGATTTATTATCCTCAAATACTCTTTTTTTCATATGGCAAAGCTTTGTAAGGTTCATGAAAATTCTACACATAAAACTCTGTTTTTTATTACCTGTCTCTTTGATTAATGACATGGAGAAGATAACACCAAGCAAGTGTGAAGGCAACTGAGTTGGCTGATGTAATTTCAGCAAAGTAGTCAGTGAACTGGATAGGGTCCTCCACATCAGCATTATCATCATCAACATGGTGTTTGCTGTGCAAAGAGTGGAGGCTGCTATCCACCATCAGGGACATAAGTATTGGAAGAAACTTGTGAATCAGCTCTCCACTCTGAAATTTATCCCATAATAAAAATTATTATGGAAAATTCCTCATTTTACATTATGGAAGCATAAAGAATTTCTTTGACATATTCAATCACTATCAGAATTTTTTTACAGTTTATTAATTCAAAGATAGGAATGTGTTGATCAATTTGAAGCTTCAACACCCCACCCACCAGGGAACTTCCCAGGTATTTGAACTTTTCAAGATTCATTTGATCAAAATCCCATCCCTTGGGGCAAACATTGTGTTCAAATGCGTCACCCAATTTTTTGGTAAAAGGCAAAATCAGTGACAGGTAGGTTCTACATATTGACCACCCTTTAATACCTAGATCTGGTACACCTTTTCTTCCCAACCATTCACTTGCTTAAGTGAACTATTTTCCTTAAAAACCTTAATATTTAGAGACACAACACTAATATCCTGCTGCAAAGACTTGACACTTCCAGTTCAAATTCCCTAACCCAGCCAGGCAAGGTTCAAATTCCCCACCCCTGTGCAAAGATGATGGTCTTATGCCCATAGATTGCCCAAGGGAGGGGGATGTTGAAGCTTTTAATTGATTGGTGCATAATTGAATAATACCAGTGCTAGGCCATGGAGGTTCCCACTTGACTGGGAGAACATGAAATAAAAAGAGTTATCACAAAAGCTTACCAAGGCCACTTCAGTAAAATGTTGATTACTGATCATCTCCCAGGCACTAACTCCAAGGTTCAAGACTCGTAAAAGAAAACTCACATCTTGACATGTCTGAAATATGTGGTAGACTGCTATGAGTCATAAGCATAAAATATTAATGGCAATGGCTTTTCTCATCATTATCAAAGGGATATTTAAATACCATTTCAAACCAATAGGACAAGAAGGATTGTCTGGTGAAAACAGTTACCTGTCAGTTTAATTAAGGAACCATATTACAGTTTGTTTTTTTTTTAACTGGGAAATGTTAGCTGTAATACACAAGTATATATACAGTGTTCTTATCTCTTTAGTGTTTCCAGTCCAAGTTAGACATTCTCTTCAATTTATGAGGGTATCTGACCACTCAAACATGATATTATAATTAAAAAAACAAATAAAATACATTACTTAGGTGCATAAATTTTACACCCTATTTGCCATATAGCAGATGGAGAATGGGTGGAGGTTATGTCTACATGTGAACTACTGCAAATAGAAGTGCTTTACAATTCAAAATGCAAAATCAAGAATTTAAGTGAAACAACTTACTTTAGGCAGTGATTCAGTGTTAACAAGTCTTTGCAAACGCTTGATTACACTCTTGGCAACAGTGTTGATAGCAAATGGGTCACAAAGGATCATTGCAATATCTCTGTGAGGAAAAAATTTTTTTTTCAATTAGCTCTAAGCCCTAAAATACTGGAAAACCTGCAGGTGACTTACACTGTTGTCTCACTTGGAAAAAAAGAATACAGCACAAACTTAACGTCTAGGGGCTGCCACAGCTTTTCCAGTTTTCTGAGGAATATTGCCTCTCTACCTTAAAAATTTCCTATCCTTCCCATATCACTGGTAAATTTGCCTAAATAGAGAGTATCATCAATCTGTCTAACAGGAGACAGGGCTTGAAATAACAGTAGCTCTATAGTAAAAGTCCAGTCAAAAACAAGGTTTAGCCTGGTCGATTCCCTGGATGGCCTGACCTTTTGTCCAATTTTTAAATCATAATGGCAAATTCAGATACAAGCTAAGGTCAAGTTTTATATATAGCTCTATCATTTTGTCCGCATTGAGTTTTAAGGCTGCATGTACAATGAAAGCAAGTTAAAAATACTTTTTAGATGAGGGAGGTGGGGGAGTTATTGAGATATGACATAATTGATATTTGCCTGGACAAATATGGGTTGTGACCAGAGCCAGCCAGCAAATTATTTCAAGACCCAGGAGATAAAGATACATATCAAACCTGAAAGTTAAAGTGCTGAAAAGTTTCCTTATATAGGATAATCAACCTTAACACTCCCACAATTTAGTTTGCAACTTAACCTTTCAGCCACTACACATTTCCACATACTAAGATTATCAGCAAAACAAATTTCATATCATAAAGAGAAGCTGTGTGTTTACTACTCCTAAGAGTTAATGGGTTAGGTAGAGATGACATTAAAACAGTTGTCAACCATAAACCTATTGGCATGACCAGTATCTAATTTCTCACTACAGTACTACCACTGAACCATTCATTAAGATCAAGAGAATAACAGATATGATCCCTAACCTAAGAGACTTTGATAATGGAAAAATACTCCTAGTCAGTACCAAAGGAAGTGTATAGAGAAGAAAGTCAAGAATGTAGGTATTGATGTTGGGTTAAGAAATGTTCTAATTTCATATTCTAATTATAATATACACAGCTCCTTACCCAAGAACCTGTTCTTCACTATGCTTTGCATGATCCAAGAATCCTTGTAATTCCTTTGTCCTTTTTCCTTCTATCACTTTTTCTCGAATACAGGCATCAAGACACCAAGTAAATTTATGGCATGGATCAATGTCCTTTATGTCTTTAATTTCAAGATCATGCACTGCCATCAGTAACTCTGACCTAAGAGTGCAGTAATGAACCTCTTTGGTTCTTAAAAACAACGTTCTCAGGAATTGTAGCACTAGATTATACAGTTCAAGAGATTTTCCTATCATCTTTGCTAAGTTTTGTACAACTGGATTCTGTCGCCTTGTTTTGGATGGAACTGAAAAAAATGTGTGCGAATTTAAAGGTTCTGTGGAGTGAAGAACATTGTACTTTTCCTCTACATATTGGTTCAAAAGGGGACCGACCGCATCCCCAAACAGTGCATGATGCTTGATCCAGATCTGCCTTTTCACCTCAATTGAGCAATCTTGGTACAACTGAGTATCATTTGCCAGTTGTTCAAGGCATTCTTCAGGGACTTTTGGGAGATATTTCATGACTTCCATCACGACTGGCCGGAGATGAGCCACGTGGATAAACGGAAAGCACTGATCGAGCAAACTCTTTAGTTTGTCCACTTCCAAAACCTTCACTTGATCAAGCAGTTTTTCACGCAAGTTTTCCATCACAAAACTATTGAACTGTAACCTGCGGACGTCATGGAGGTCTAAAAAGGGCAAAGCAGGTTGCAGAGAAGGCAGCATGATACTGTTTTCCTGTTGAAAGTTCTCTATGAAGTTGACAGTTTCGAAATCTTGTGCAGTAGTTAGTCCTTGGGTGATAAACTCTGGTCCCGGCAGTCCTGCTTGGTCAAAACCAGACATGACGATAGAGAAATGTGTACTCTTCAACACCTGTTTTCAAAATAGTGAATTTCACTCGAATACCCAAGTAATTTAAGTTTTTGCTAGAGACAACTTTTTCGCCATGTTGGCGGACATCGGCCGAAGCCGAATGCGCATGATCTGTGCACACACCACAAAGAATGCGGGGAGTTTTATAGAAACCATATTTCATTTTACCCACAACCCTGTGCAACCTACAAAGAGGCAAAATGGCGGACGAAGTGCACATAGACGAGAAAGTAAAAAGATACGAAGAATTTTTGAATGAAAGACTGAGAAAGGATTTAGAAACTGTACTTAAAACGCAAGGACAGGTAAACTCCAAGATCGCAGAATATTTGCAGCTAAAAAGTGTCATAGAAAACATTAAAAACCGCGATGGAAGTTCCGGGAAAGCGCTGAAGACACAAGTAGATCTCGGATGTAACTTTTATTGCCAAGCGCAGATTACAGATCCGTCAAAAATTTTAGTCTCAGTAGGCTATGGATTTTATGTGGAATTCACTTTGGATGAGGCTCAAGAATTTATTGAGAAAAAATGCGCCCAACTAACAGCATATGCCTCGAAGTTGGGAAATGACTCCGCTAACATAAAGGCTCGTATTAAACTAGTTATGGAAGGGCTAAGAGAGCTGCAGGACATTGGACCACACAGGGACGAACCTAGACCTCTATGGTAGAAAAGACTCTACCGCGATGATATGCAATATCTGGGAGTTTTACATGTGAGGTACTGTGTATCTCTGGCTCATAAAGGAAAGATCATCAAAGGTCTCCAGAAAATCCATCTGAAACCAAACAACCTGCTTCTCACTTCGTAACATGCGATGCCAGCAATTGTTATCATTAAGTTCTAAATAGAATAAGATAGATGGTTAGTTTTAAGCTTGATAAATAAATAGAGAAAGATGTTTTACATCTTGTTGCGAGCATGGGACAAAGAAAAAACTCTGAGTCCCCATGAGGAATTGAACCTCAAACCTTCAGATTCGACACTTTGATGCTCTATTACTGAGCCAAAGACACTCTATGGAAGTTCATATGACACACATCCTGCATACTGTAAGGATCAGTAATGTCAATAGTGTTATGTTTATAAATAGAATAAGATAGATGGATAGATGTTCTTTGTCCCACGATTATGACAAGATGTAAAATATCTTTCTTTATTTCTTTACTGAGCTTAAAACTTACCATCTATCTTATTCTATTTACAAACATGATGCTATTGACATTGCTGATCCTTGTGGTATGCAGGATGCATGTGATATATGAACTTCATAATGGGCCTTGCTCACCATGTAGGTTCTGTGGCTCAGTGGTAGAGCATTGCGGCACAGAATCTGAAGGTCTGATTCTCATGGAGACTCAGGATGTTTTCTTTGTCCAGTGTAGTAGTAGTAGTGTAGTAGCCATGTTAGAACCCATGGAAATTATAAAATGTGCAGAGATTTTGATCCCTTACCTTATAGATGCACAGTAGTATTATCACAACCCACTGATGGGTATGGAAATATAGTTTTCTTCTTTGGCTAGTAGTTTGGACAGTGTCTATAGTGTGCGGTATGTTCAGACAGAGGTATTCTCTCTTACTTCATCCTGAAAATCCACTTAAGAACACATATCACAATTTCTATTTTCTTAAAACCCTATATTTGATAATGAATATAACAAGAATAAAAAAAAGGAAACTAAACTTGGTTGAAGATAATCCAGATAAAGTCACAAATATTGTAGTTTTAATTTCTTCCTTAACTCAGCTGAATAATCTTATTTATAATTTTCTTGAATTACTTTGGTTTAGTGAAATTGTTTCCCCAAAGTTGAAATCTCCATTAGGGTTAAATTTCTTGTCACATAATCACTTTGTTACTATGAACACATTTAGATGGTCCAACAGTGGTGGTATGAACCCATAATTCTTAGAAATGGTTAAAATCTTACCTCTACCTACAATATTGAATTACACAGGAAACAAGAAGAGGGATAAACATACCTATCCCCTTAAATGTATTGTCTTGATGTAAAAGCCAAGCATTTATACCAGACTTGCTGATTCATACTGGCAATATATATATTAAGAACTAATAGGGAAAGTTGCAAATTGGATCTTGGCAGATTTAGAATAACCCTGGGTACACTTAACTGTTTGTCAACAGTTGTATTTGTTTCCATACATTCCTAATTGGAAACATTTTATTTAAGATAGAAGAAGCTGTAAACTGTAATGCCAGAAAAGAAAGAAAACAACTGGACAATAATAAAAATAAAAAATTATACTGGGTTTCATTAATGAGGAGAAGTTCTTAAAATGATCTACATCAGATCATCATATTTATGAAATATATATTTTCAAAAACATTGCAATTTGGAAAAATATATGAAATATATACACCTTTTGTTTTCTTGTCAAATAGTGTCTCTTTTTTTTTGTTCCACACACCTGACAAGAGATGATCAGCAAGTCCTTTCAAAACATTCCTGTAGTGCAATTTTGTAATTTCTCCTTTACTATTCAACTAATAATTATGTATCTATATATCTATATACATGAAGCTACAG